TGAAATAACCTGGATTCTGCATACTCACTTTCAGCAGTACCGGTGCAAATACCTGTCGCACTGCTTGATAAAGCATATTAACTGGAGAATCTAACATAGATGATACAAGAATATTGGTGTGAAGATTATCTTCTGTAATAACATCTGGTCGCAGCTTGAAAAATACTAGTGTTTTGTCTTCCGAATTGCTAGCTTCGACCTGCATAAGTGTGAAACACAGAAATTAATTAACTATTAAGCAGAAAATTAATTCAGCACTGTGACAATATTTGTAAATTATTAAAATTATAGGGCACACTCTACAGTTATTAAACTTTCCTATCTCAGAGAGGAAAAACAGAAAGAAAAATTGGGCTACATTTTAATATAATATTGTAATATCATACACAAAGTAAAACAAATATGGAAAACAGGATTTACTTTAAAAATATTATAGTAGAATGTGACTTTTTATCTAAATCAAGAAGATACAGAAATATGTATTTTGATAAGATAAATGGTGCAACATATAGAGAAAGAAATATGTGTGTTCCCTCCTCTTTAATGAAAGGATTGTTTATAATATTTAGTATGATTAAAAATCATACTAAATAAGAAATAAATGACCTACCTGTCAGCATTAAATGTTCTGTGGGTTGATACCTTAAGAATACAGTTATAAAGCTGTACAGCATTAAATGTTCTATGGGTTGATACCTTAAGAATACAGTTATAAAGCTGCCTTACAAACATCAGTCTTACAACTGTTCTAAATGAAGACATGGCTGGTTCTATCTTACCAATCTGCATGAACCCAACCTCTGTGGTTTATTCAACAGTACAATGTATAAACTATCTTATTAAATCAGAGTATTAGTCTACCTAGATGATAGATATAAAAGATATTGATGATATATAGAGATAATAGAGATCCTAAAAATCATAGATATATAGGTACGTGTGTGTGTGTGTCCTGTTTTCCCCAAAATAAGACATCCCCTGATAATAAGCCCAATTGGATAGATAGATAGATAGATAGATAGATAGATAGATAGATAGATAGATAGATAGATAGATAGATAGATAGATAGATAGGCAGGCAGGCAGGCAGGCAGGCAGGCAGGCAGACAGACAGACAGACAGATAGATAGATAGATAAGATAGACAGACAGACCGACAGATAGACACACACACCCCACACACAAATATATTAATAAATAAAAGGTGGGATAAATATCTAACACTGATAATAATATAATTAAGAAGGACATCAGGGTACCTTATTTGAGACCACAATCTGGTCTTCCGAGTGCTGCACACAGAGAAGAAATTCGTTGCCATCATCCAAAAAGTTGGCCAGTTCGGGACTGGCCGAGAGAGGTGCCAGGCTCCCATACGACGACAGCCCAAAGTAGTTGCCAGCAGTGGCCGAAATGAAAATCTTCCTCTTGTCGCCATCGCCGTCCCCATCGAGAGGCATGTGAGTCGCGACTCCGGAGCTCCGTCTAGGTCCGGAGACCGGAGGCAAAGTCCTGGAACGGCTGCGGAGCCGAGCGCCTTTTTTTTTTTTTAACCAAGGCGTCCACCTTTCTCCCCGTTCCCAGAAGAAACAGAAGAGTTGAAGAACATTTGTTTTAGGGAAGAAAGTGAAGAGAAAACGGAACGGCCAAGATCATACCGGCGGCAGCGACACACCGGGCCGCCGCGAAAGGTAAGGAAGAAAGAAACGCCCGTTTGATTTCTCAGAGATACCCGGCAGGCGGCGTTGCTAGGCCCGGTTACTAGGGTAACCAAAATGGCCGACGCCGCCTAATGCTAAGACGCGTTGCTTAAGGGTGTATTAAGCGATCCGCATCCATTTCTCCACAACCCTGGAATGCAGTGAAATCCAAATCGGTGTGATAGGTAATCGCTAGGCGCGTAACTCGTGCTTGGCTTTGAGTTAGATGCTGCGGGAAGCGGCATTAAGCGTGCAAGATTGCTGTAGGTTGGCCCCGACAGTTGTGTTGCGTTGCAAGTACCGTCATTCCCGCTGAAGGAAAGATTGTTGGGTGGATGTGATGAGAGACGTTGTCTGGAGCAGAGGTCTCCAACCTTGGCAACTTTAAGACTTGTGGACTTCAACTCCCAGAGTTCCTCAGCCAGCTTTGCTGGCTGAGGAACTCTGGGAGTTGAAGTCCACAAGTCTTAAAGTTGCCAAGTTGGAGACCTCGTCTGGAGGACAACAGTCTGGAAAAGGTTGTTGTACTGCATGGAGGATCTGTTGAGTCTACAGATGGTTGACCTACGCAGCTCAGCAGCTGCCAACTACTGGCGAAGGACTCTGGGTGCTGCATTTCAGGAAATATATGGAATATAAACTCGGGTAGAAATCTGTTGGTGCCCTGTATCTCAAATAAACTTCCAGTTTGCTTCCATTTCCTCCTTCACTAATATTGACTTATTAAAAAATATGTCATGTTAGACTTTCAAGGAATGGATCATATGCTCGGCTCGCTAATCTCACAAAAGCTGCAGTTCTGTGAAATTAGTCCTAAGCTTCCCTGAACTGAGACTTGACTGAAAATATAGTTCTGTTTTGTTATATTCCTTCATTAGAGGATAAAACCACAACTACAAACCATTTATCCCGATGTGAAGACGGCAGGTAACACCTTCACAAAACCCCACAACACCTTAACTCATTTCTGAGAGCACATGTGGATTAATTATTTCAGCTACCAATCTTTCTGAGGACAGCTCGAGGCGGTACACGGGAAGTTCTCAGATTTAATCTTCACAACAATTCTGTGAAGTAAATAGAGCTGAAAGTTTATGCTGATCCCTAAATCATTATATAATCCAATTACATATGGTGTACAAAACCTGGGTCTCACTGGTTGTGGCCCTGCGTGCCAGACATCATGCTTCTATTTAATGCTTGTACAGTTTTGTCATCAAGGAAAAGACTGATGTTTTCTTTTAATTATCTTTTAAACTGAATCCAAATAATTAACTATTCTTTTCTCACTGCTGAGACTGTACAGGTGCCTGCCCCAACATGATGCTGTTTAGAATCATCAGTCTTCAAATGTCATACTCCAGGAGTGGTATCATGGGAACACCCTTTAATACATCTGGAGGATACCAAATTGGGAAGAGTTATTATATATACCACTCTAAATGATACAGCATAATATAATACAAATCCCTTTATCTTTCTCCATTCATATTACTCTAATTGCCTTACCATAAAGAAATTTTGATATTCTTCTTTACTGGAAAAACTGATAAAAGCATGGCTTGATTTTGTTCAGCATTCTTCAGGCTTTCAAAGACTGATGTCAGCCTTTCAAGGTAGGCCAAGTCAGGAAAGACTGCACTGCAGGGATTCCAAGAACGCTACACTTTATTGTTGTAGAATAAAGTAACAAAATACTGAAAACCTACGTTTTTATCTGCCCATCTAATACCGTGGTAAACAAAATCATTTTGTTTTCTCAAGGTTGCTTCAATCTCAACTGTGTATAATCTTTTCTGCAAGAATCTCCTTAACAGTTCTTTCATATCTTTCTCAATGGCCTCTTTAAATTCCTTTACACTTAAAATATAACTTTTATTTATTTTGCCTCAAAGTCATTTTGACTCCTGGCAACTAAATAAAGTCCCTGCAGTTTTCTAGGCAATATTTTCAGAAATTATTTTACCCTTCCCCTCTTTCTAGGGCTGAGTGAAAATAACTTGCCCAACAATATATATTTAAACATACAATAAATTAAGCATTTACTAAAATTCTGGGCATGTAACTCTGGGTGGCATACCAATCAAGACGTTTTATGGCTGTATGCCATATTAAAAGCAACAATACTATCAATGAGATTCAGCTTCATCACCATCATATGGTTTGCAAAGTTTGACTCCAACTATTTAAATCATAAGTTAGGAATTTTTGCAAGCTCAGCAAACTATGATTTAATTAGAAATAAACCAGGCAAGCTAACCATGGCTGGGCATGAGATGAAAGCCCAACCAGTAGCTGGAAATACAGGTAGTCCTCAACATAGGGCCACAAATGAGCCCAAAACATGTTACTGAGTTTTGCCCCAATTTATGACTTTTCTTGCCACATTTGTTAAGTGAATCACGGCAGTTAAATTAGCAACATGGTTGTTAAGTGAACCTGGTTTCCCCATTGACTTCGCTTCTCAGAAGGTTGCAAAAGGGGATCACACGACCCTGGGGACAAGTCACATGACCGTGGGATGCTGCAACCATTGGAAGAGTGAAAAAATGGTCCTAAAGCAAGGGTGAAATCCAGCAGGTTCTGACAGGTTCTAAAGAACCGGCAGCGGAAATTTTGAGTAGTTTGGAGAACTGGCAAATACCACCTCTGGCTGGCCCCAGAGTGGGGTGGGAATGGAGATTTTGCAGTATCCTTCCCCTGGAGTGGAGTGGGAATGGAGATTTTGCAGTATCCTTCCCCTGGAGTGCAGTGGGAATGGAGATTTTGCAATATCTTTCCTCTGCCACGCCCACCAAGCCACACCCTCCAAGCCACACCCTGCCCACCAAGCCACGCCCACAGAACCGGCAGTAAAAAAAATTGAATTTCACCACTGTCCTAAAGTCCCTTTTTTTTTTTCCCAGTGCCCATGTAACTTTGAAGAGTCATTAATGGAATATTAACGTTGTAAATCGAGGACTAATGTAGTTCCCTTTGACTTCTGAAAAGGCATTCTGCTGAGTTAGGCAGGATGATGCCCGATCACGCACGTCTGGGGAAAGCCCTGATGAATAGGCTCGCAAGTCGCCCCGGGGAGAAATTGACGCCTATCCCGCTCCCCCCTCCCTCCCTCTCGACCCACGTCACAACCTCTTTTCTAGTGACGCGCGCGCAAACGCTCCCGAAAGGGCGGGGCTAATAAACGCGTCGGCGCCGTCCCCGTCTCTTAGCTCCGCCCTGGAGGAGGCGGGGCGAGCGGGTGCCAGTCGAGGGGGCCGGCGGCGGCGGAGGCGCGTCGCTGTCACTTCCTGCTCCCGCCTCTTCGTGTCAGGGCGGCGCAACGCGCTCGCGACTCCTCTGCGCCTTGCCGGCTTTTCCTCGCCGCCGCGGCTGCTTCTACCTCAGCGCCGAACGGTCCGTCCCACCACCACACACACACACACACTCACACTCACACTCACACACCGCGCTTGCCCTGGCGGCAGCCCAGCGGTAGCGGCCGAGCGAGGAAAGGAAAGGGGCCGGAGAACGAAGCGGGCGCGGCGGCGGCGGCAGCAGCAGCAGCAGCAGCAGCCAGAGCCGCCGCTTCTTCGCGACAGCCGAGGACGGAAGAGGCGGCGGCGGCGGCGGCGGTCGCTCTCATCACCCGGGAAGAGGGGGGGGGGGGGGGCACGCTGGAGGGCCTGGCTCCCCTCGTCTATTGCTCGCTCCGCTCTACGGTGAACAGAGGAGATGCCCGTGAAAAAAAAGCGCAAATCTTCCGGGCAGGCGGGCGACGAGTCGGGCCTCAAGAAATGTAAAATCAGCAGGTATCTGCCGGCCGGATAGGCCTACCATCTCTGGGGCCGCCCAAGCGGGTCAATGGGGTGGGGGGGGGGGTTGGGGTCTCCTTTATGGGGGAAGCGGCCTGAGGGAACCCCCCCCCCCGGGGGGGGCGGGGCCGCCGACGGGCGCCTTCTTTTTTTGGTCTCGGAAGCGGCCCCTCTGATTTGAGGAGGGGGGGGGCTTCTTCCGTCCCCACCCCCGCAATTGCTGGTCACCTTTTTCTGACACAGGTAAGGGAGGATAGAGATGTCAGGTATGGCCATCAGCCCCCCTCCCCCAACCCCACTATACACACACCATTGAATCTGCCTTTAAGCTAATTGCTGCCTCTCCATCCATCCATGGTCTTTTTTTCTCTCCTAATCTATTAGGAACTGTATTTTTTCATACTTCCTTGACCCAAATTGCACATTTCTTAGGGTGACCTTTTCCCACCCCCACCCTGCTCTTTCTTACTGCTCTTGCCTGAAGGGTCTGGTAGGTTCACTGATGATTCTGTAGTAACTTTCTCCTAAATGCTGCCTTCCAAGTGTGATGGATGAAATTTACCCGTTAGCAAGAATCCAATGCCTTGCTGGCTGGGGTTGTATGGGAGCTGAACTTGTGAACATCCTTGGGAGCACCAGGTAGGGGAAAGCTGCTCTGCATAATGACTAATGTTTCAAGAGGCCTTCCTCAGCTCTAGTCTGCTTGGTCTGCACTAGTGATTTTAAAATCCTGGAATGGTTTGTAATGAGGAATATTAAAGTCATCTCCCCCAACCAGGACCCTACGGTGGCATCTACAACAAAGCACATGGTGTTAAGGTAACAGCATGTGTTATTGTATGAAGGATGAAATGGCATCCAGTCAAGTATATAAATTCTGTAGTTTGCTTGCTGACATCATGTTGCATGTGTTATTTGTTCCTCCCCTGCTTATCCTTCTCCAGGTGCCTATGGCAGGATGAAATAGAATATGTTGCCTTATGATGATGGGAGTTGCAGCCCAACATGTTTGTAAGGAAGCTGATTAGAAAATAGTGTAATTTCAGCTTCAGATGATTTCATTTATACATAAACATCTCTCTGTGTGTGTATATACCTATACACACATATACACACACAGACACACACACTTATACATACAGATATGTATGCGTACACACACTATATATATGTGTGTGTATGTATGTGTGTAAAAACATTACAATATAATAAATTTATATGCCACCCAGTCTGAAAAGTGAATGTGTATATGTGCATATTCTAATTTTTGCCAACTGGTTGGAGAAGCAAGTTGGCATATAAACTGAATGAAGGCCAGACAGATTTCACTATCTCTCAACTTGAAATTTTCTGTCTTGATAAGAACAGACCTTCCATGATTTAATATTAGGCACTGTGATGTGCCTCCCAGCACTTTGGAATTCTTTGCCCAGTCCCCAGGTTTATGAAGTACCTTCCCCTACATAAAATTGTTAATGCAATTATATTCCACTAGGGCTTTTTTTAAAAAAAACTTAGTCACTGGCTTAGGGATATCCATCTTGGGGCAGGTTGATTAATCTTATGCGCTTTTTTATGTTTTTACTCTGTTGCAGAGAGGCAGCTTGGTGTAGTGGTTAAGGCATCAAGGTAGAAACTGGGAGACCTAGAGTTCTAGTTCTGCCTTGTACACAAATCCAGCTGGGTGATCTTTCTTTCAGCTCTAGGAAGAAGGCAAACCACTTTTGGAAAAACCTTGCCAGGAAAACTTCAGGGAATTGTCCAGCCAGTCTGAGAATCTGACATGATTGAACAGAAAAAATTAACGACCATTTACCCCTATTATTCTGTACCCATTATTTTTTAAATACAAGTCAATTGTAATGAAAGTGCTCAAAGAATTACATTCCATCAAACGTATAAAAATTCTTACAGACTTCATCTTTTTAACACTGTTAGAGACAAATTATATAAAAAAGATAGCTAAAGTATAGATTTTGACATATCTTGATTTACACTAGAAAGGAATACATTAATACACCTTTGGTAGTTTCTCTGCTTATATATTGTGTGGTAATGAATCAGTGTTTTATTTAAAAATATAATTTATTGCATATATTTGCAGAAATGTTTGCCAGTTGATTGATAATTAATGTAAAAGTTGATTTCTGTTCAGAACCACAAACATTGGCCCCAAAGTCTAACCACAGCTTTTTCAGGCTACTATAAAAAGGCAAGGTAACTACACTGTTCTCTTCCTTTGCACTCATAAAACTGCTACTTATTTAGGAGTGCAAATACTGTTAAATTCAGTGTGACAGGCTTCTAAATATACATGGATAGAATTGTGCTGTTAGAATCTCAAACATGTTCTACCTGTTCCTTGAATACCAACTAAACTATTATGTGGACCATAGCTCTAGAATTGCAGAGTTAAAACTTGCTGCAATCAATAGTGAAAGTGTATATATTGGACTAAAGATATTAGCTATTGAACGAACATCATATATAATAATGTGACAGATGTTTCAGATCAAAATCTAATGGAAAAGGATGCCTTGAAATAGTAACACCTGAGATTGCAGATGTAGCCATGACATTCTCCACATTAAATTGCACTTCATTTTAAAGTACTGTTACTTAGATTTCTTGAAAAAGGGATGAAATGAAACCACAATTAGTGGAGTGCTTTAAAGTAAAAGAAAATAGCTCTCTGTGACTTGCTAAAAATTCATTATAGAAAGCATTATAGAAAGAAAAATAGCACAGGTTATTTCAGGTAGCTAGATGTTCTTTAAGAAATGAAAGATGTTTGTGCTTTTTTTTTTTTTGGAAATGTTCATCAAAAGATTAGATAGGAAAGAATATGTAGAAGAGAAGAGAACAAGAAGCAACATTTCCCAGGTTTCTGTATAATAAATGATGTGTTTTATCATTTATTATAGCAGCCATTTTGTAAGTAACAACATACTGTGGATACTACAGTATAAATGAATATATATGTGAGCTACAATTGCCAGACTTTTCAATGGTAAAAACACTTGCACTCAGTTTTGTATTACAAGCATAGTAAAAACTGAATCACTCAAGGGCAGGTAAAATGAATTAAATGCATTCAATTACCTTTCTAATTGTTTGCCTTTACAGCTGCTAAGTGTCATATATAAGATAGCATTTAGTCTCTACTTTGTGTAGGAATACAAATTAAAGAGTCCTGACAGATTTCTCCTCAGGTTGAACACATCTAATGAGACTTCACTAGTCAATTCACTCTACTTCTTTTACTGCAGGATGGTTTCTTTAATTGGAATCTGCTTCCTATTACTTAAGATCCTTATTGTGGTATTGCATTCTGCGACAGTAAAGAACAAATTGCATCACCCCGTTATTTTTCTGAGAGGTGGAAGTGCCCATTTTTCTCAGTTTTTCATAGGATTTAACACATAGTTTCTTAGTAATTGTCTTTTAGCCTTTCTTTGAACCAATTCCAATTTGCCTGAAGGCTTCTGAGGCTCAAAACATAATAGATCAAATGTTTAGTTGTTTCCCAACTGTGACAGTTCAGTACAATACAATTTTGGCTTATATTTTTAGTTCTGGGTATGAATGTTGAATGTCATCTAGAACAGGCTTTCAGTTATAGTAAACATTACTTTCTGCAGACAGGCACATATTATTACATGGCCTTTAAAATATGACTCATCTATCACAATAAGGAATATGTTGTCAAGTTGAAATTTTAAGACCTCTTGAATTTGATAGAATTTACTTTTATACTAATATATTTAGAAATGGAATAATTATCAAAACATTTTATTATGGGTATGATTTCATGAGATGTCAGGCCTAACATCTTGCAAGGTCATCTGGGATTCCTTCAAGCCTCTAACTCTAACTGGTTCCTCTGTGGGATGAGCTCATGTGCCTGCAAATTAGATCAGTGCTCTTCCTGCCTGATATATGTGTCCAGAAAAGGAATTAAAATATTGATGCAGAAGGTGAGTGACTCCTTGAGGAAGGAGATTATACCAGCCTTGAAGAAAGTGATGGTATAACTTCTTCTCAAGCCATCATTCGCTTGGTTGACCTAAATAATTACTGGCAGATACCCTTTTTAATAAGGTGGATGAGATGGTTGGACTTCAGTATACAGGTTCCTGGATGAAATTAATTGTCTGGATTTTTTCCATTTGGGTTCATACTTGGGGATCAGAGGGAAACTGCCTCAGCTACTCTTATAGATGACTTGTTAAATTTCTCAGCATTCAATACCATCATCTGGTATAATTTTGGACCACCGGTATGCCTTGGGGATCAAACTTTAGTCCTATAGTGGTTTTGCTCATTCCTGAATGTGTTTCCAATCAGTTTTGATAGAGTATACAAGCCCTTGAGCTTCCAGTAGGAGCTGCTCAAAGATTCAGCCCCATTGCCCATTTTATTTAATATCTAAACCAACCCACTAGAGAGATTATTCATCATTTTGCAGTTACATTTCATAACATGCTGCTGATATCTAGCTTTAGATCTTTATCCTGGAAGCTCTAAGGGACTAAATGAGGTAGTAGATTTGGAGTTAACTGCAGCAAGACAGGGCTTTTGTTGGTATAGAAACTTTGAATCCATGAACTTTTCCCTGTATTCTAATGCAATTGATTTTTCCTGAAGTAGTTATGTAGTCTGAGGTTTTCTTGGACCCATGGTTCCTTGTGGAGCAGGAGATAGCAGTTGTGACCTAAAATCCTTTTAGAATCTTTGTTTGGTATTCCAGTTTCATCCTTGCGTGGTCCAGAGGTGCCAAGGCTGATTTATATCTTTGTCATCTCTCAGTTAAACTACTGCAATTTACTCCGCACAGGAATCACTCAGAGTTGCAACTGTGTCATAGAATGCAGCCATTTACCTACAGATTAGCAGAATCATGATTGTATTGCAGGAGTTGTGTTGCTGGTAGGTTTCTTGGCCCAGTTCACATTGCTGGTAGATATCTGAATAAGCCTATATGGCTTGGTTTAGGCCACTGTTACCTTTAGGATTATCTACTCCAAGTGGAATCCACTTGTTCCATGCAAAAGTTATTAAAACTTTTGTTAAAAGAGTTTTGTGAGGGGCCTTTATTTCTGAATTATAAATGTATATTATAATGCCAAGATGTTTTAATTAAAATCACTAAAATTAATGATTAAAAAAACTTATTGACAGAATAAAACAACTAAATCTTGGTCTGCTGCATAGCTTGTTAATTCTTTAAACTTTAGAATGGGTTGTGAGAATATCCAGAAAAGGGAAAAAAGACACCACTTTTGTACTTCGAAAGAAAGAATAGTTTGCTCCCTAGAAAATATGTAAAAAGTAGTAAATTAAAGCTGCAAATTTAAGTATTTTCTACATGTTATCTATTAATAAGCCATAATTGGGGATTTTTTGAAGTAATAGCAAATTTACCAACATCTTTTTAAATATGTATTTAAGTTATTGCAGGTCACCAGCTTCCAATAAAGTGATAAGTGGTGAGGAGCATTTTTCAAGCAAGAAGTGCCTGGCTTGGTTTTATGAATATGCAGGTATGAAACTAATGCATGGTTAATGCAATTACTTTGTAATACTAGAACTGTGCTCTGCATATATCCTCTTTAATGTGAAATTAACCATTTGTTTAAAAATATTTGAATATAACATGGGAACCACACTACCGGTAGTCCTCGACTTACAACCACAATTGAGCCCAAAATTTTTGTTGCTAAGTGAAACATTTGTTAAGTGAATTTTGTCTCATTTTATGATCTTTCATGCCTTAGTTGTTAAGTTAGTAACATGGTTGTTAAGTGAATCTGGCTTTCCCATTGACTTTGCTTGTAAGAAGGTCACAAAAGATGATCACATGACCCCAGGACACTGCAGCTATCATAACTGTGAATTAGTTGCCGAGCATCTGAATTCAGATCACGTGAGTATGGGGATACTCCAACAGTTGTGTTGAACACAGTCATAAATCACTTTTTTCAGTGCTGTTGTAACCTTGAACGGTCACTAAATGAACTGTTGTAAATCGAGGAGTACCTGTATTTTAAAAGAAAGTGTTCTTGGGTTAGAGGGATAAACATACACAGGAGTTTCTCAGATGTGAATTTCTGTTGTTCACATATTGAGCTATGTTGTAATTTTTTAATCTGTTTGAATATCTATTCTGATTTGTTTGGCTCTAGGTAGATGAATGGTATAAATCTATCCATGGAAGTTTACAAACTAAGGTTTATGGCTTAACAAAATATATGATCCACACTAATGGTTGCTTATTCAACAAACCTCATTTAAGCAAACTAGTTTAGTACATAGAGCATCCTGATCAGTCCAAGTATGCCTACCAGCTAAAAGAGAGGAATACTTTATTTTTATGAAGCCAAAATATGTTTCTTCCTTTTTTTGTGTTTTTCTTCATATAAATATAGATACAAAGCATTTCATCCTCTCAGAAAAGCAGGTTGGGTTGAGAAACAGTGACTGGTCAAAATTAAACCCATTAAGGTCCAATGTTATAAGATTATTTATTATTTATTTATTTATCCAGGACAACAGGAGTACAAATTCACACCAGGAAAACATTCTTTATGTCAGAAAATGTAATGCTGCAGAAATCTGGATTTGTTAGAGAAGAGCAAGATATATGCACTATGAACTGCAGTTTTTTTTAAAAAAAATATTTTGTTTGCAAATGAATGAGTTGTTGTTAGTTGCAAAGTTGTGTCCGACCCATCGCGACCTCATGGACAACTTTCCTCCAGGCCTTCCTGTCCTCTACCATCCCCCGGAGACTAAGCTCACGCCAACTGCTTCAGGGACTCCATCCAGCCACCTCATTCTCTGCCACCTCCTCCTTCTTTTGCCCTCAATCGTTCGCAGCATTAGGCTCTTCTCCAGTGAGTCTTTTCTTCTCATTAGGTGGCCAAAGTATTTGAGTTTCATCTTCAGGATCTGGCCTTCTAAAGAGCAGTCAGGGTTGATCTCCTCTAGGATTGACTGGTTTGATCGCCTTGCAGTCCAAAGGGACTCGCAGGAGTCTTCTCCAGCACCATAGTTCAAAGGCCTCAATTTTTTGACGCTCACCCTTCCTTATGGTTCAACTTCCACAACCATACATTGCAACTGGGAACACCATAGCCTTGACTATATGCACTTTTGTTTGCAGGGTGATGTCTCTGCTTTTTAGTATGCTGTCTAATGAATGAGTATGTGTTACATAAACAGATATACTGCAAAAACCCTTTAGATTTTTTTCCCATCTTTCTATATTCATAAAAAAATTGCTAATCTGATGCTGAAATCCTAAAGTGATTATTATTATTATTATTATTTATTGAATTATCAGTCTTTCTTTATAACTGTATGAACATCGTATGTCTCCTATTATATAGTAGTGATGGGCAAATTTAGATTCTGCTTCAAATTCAGATATATACGTATGAACATATTTTATGTGTTATTTTGTAATGCAAATTAACCATTCAAAACTGGAACTGTACATTGGATGGCAGTAACTGATCTCGGTGAAACATCTGGAATATGGTGTAATTAGGAAACTGTATGCAACACTGAAATGACTCACAAGTACAGTCTGCTACTTATCTCTGTTTTTTGCTATCCTACTCCAGCTTTGGCTATGATAGGCCATTGAGTGATACAAATTTATATAGCATGATATATCTTTTTTTCCTTTGAAGGTGATGATGAAATTGTAGGACCTGAAGGAATGGAAAAATTCTGTGAAGATATTGGTGTTGAACCTGAAAACGTAAGCCACAAAATGGCTAATATCAGTTTTTTAAGTATTGTCCATTCTGTGGTTATATTGTGTTTTTCTGCTCTTTCTTAATTTTATTCTCACAAATTTCTGGTCTTTCTTAATTTTATTGTCACAATTATGAACTTTTAAAAATTGGGTTGTTTTTTTTAATATTTCAGTTTTACAACTGGAATCCTATAATTTCTTTATATATTTGGGCATGGGCAGATCTTAAAGTGCTGAAACTTCCTTGCATTACTTCCTATATAATACCCCTATGTTTTTATATTTTCTTCCAAAGTCAAAAATATGCAAAGGTATACCTTTTCTTGGGATTCTGCTATAGTGACCAGCTGCATGAACTTAGAAAAAGACGCAGGTATTTTAAAGAGTTGCAGCTATGTAAATGCCACTGCCTACTCCAAAGTACATTTTTGATCATTTTAATATTGCATGGTTAAGTGGAGGCTTTCCTAAGATTATAGGAAAATATCTTTAACAGCTCTCCAAACACCAGATAAAAATCATCTGCACACCATCGGGGAACAAAAAAAAAAACGTTGGCCACCCAAAACCTCCTATCGATTGGTATCAATCAAAAGTATTTGTAGTATTTTATTTGCTTTGATGAATTGTTTCGATGGCTCCAAAAGGACAGTGGCTAATGCATCTCTGGTGCATTTCTGGGGGTATGACGTTCTAAAACAGATACTTCAAAAAGGTAGGATCAGGTACTTCCTGCAGTGGTGGCTTTCCTACAACAAGCAATTAGGGAGAACATTTTAATGCTATGGAGGGCAGAGCAGGAAAGGTTTTGGTACAATTTCTTATAGAGGCATCAGATGAGGCTATTCTCTTGCATTTTTGAGGCCTTGAAGACCTGTCTCTTGCCCAGCCTTTTGCTTAAGATAGGTTTAGTCCCCTTCAAGAAGTGGGTGTGCGTTTGCTGCTGCCTGATTTTGCCAACTCCTACTTTTGTTGTATTTTTATTGTTTTATACTTTTATATATTTTTTGTGAACCATCCACAGTCGTTGGGAGCCAGGCGATTAACACTTAAATAGAAATGGAAATTTAGTTGTCAGCAAGGTCCTGAGAGTTGTAGTCCCAACACATTTGAAAAGAGTAGAGATTTGGACTGATGAACAACTTTTGCAGCCAGCCACTGTTTAAAAAAACGTTTTTGTAAATTTGATTTTCCCCCCTCTGAGCCCACTTTTATTCCTTTATTCTTTTACAGATTATTATGCTAGTTTTAGCCTGGAAACTAGAGGCTGAAAGCATGGGATTTTTTACAAAAGAAGAGTGGCTAAAGGGGATGACCTCATTACAGTAAGAACTTCTATTTTAAGTTCTCCTTGATATGTCAAAATATTTGGATACATATACACATTTTCATTTAATGCTGCAGATATGAAGAGCCTGGTGGTTCAGCAGACTGATAGCATTGTGATTAACACCAGCTGTCTGCAATTACTGTAAGTTCAAATCTTACCAGGCTCAAGGTTGACTCAGCCTTCCATCCTTTCTAAGGTAGGTAAATTGAGGACCCAGTTTGTGGGGGCAATAAGCTGACTTTGTATAAATATACAAAAGTATGAAGGCTATTGCTTAACGCATTGTAAGCCGCCCTGAGTCTCCGGAGAAGGGCGGCATATAAATCAAATTAAAAAAAAAAAACTTTGCTTGTATGTTACATCTTTCAATTTAATCTGAAGATTAAAGTTTGTGATGGCTCATGTTCTTGAGCTGTGCAGTGTTTCAGATTTGAGCATAGAAAGATGCTTCAGAGTGTCTGTAGAGGTGCTCATGCAGTACCTTTGTGCAACTCCTTTGAGCAGGTAATTATACTATCCCCAGAGAACGTAGTTTATTTAAAGACATAGGTAAAGATTATGTGAGCCTCTTTGTGTACTCCAAAGAACATTTTATGCTCGAATCTGCATAGCCCAATCAGATGTTTCCCTGTGGTCAAAATCAATTTACTTCTGCTGAATTCTTAAAACAATTCAAATGTGTTTGTGTGAATGTTTAGCTTTTCTGTCACTGTATACTACTAAAATTCTCCCGTCTGTAACCTGAGTGAAAAAGTACATCATAGGGCAATAATATTTGAACCAAGATACTTCAAACGGGCTAATTCACAGAAGGCATCCAAAATCCTGGACCTATGACTCCTGTGGGATTGAAATTTGGAAAATTTGTGGTCACTTCAATGCTGCCACGCTGCTACCCAGAAATTCAATAGACTGGTCCTAGGCCAGAACTCTGGAAGCCAGGGAGACAGGTAAGCCCTCTTGCACCATTCTCTGCGAGAGGGCCATCAACCACAGTAAACTGGCAAGCAGTCAGACGTCACTCATGCTTCCACTACTTTTTTTTGTCCTTGATCATTCTGTTTCTCTGTTTAGGTAAAGAAATAGCTCTGAAGTGATGAGCCAGTGGGTCATGTTGATAACGTTTGTCACATTTAGGATGGGGTAATGCATCAATTGTAGCCTTCCTTGATCTCTCTGGGCAATACAGTGACCATGATATCCTTCTGGACCAGTTTAGTGGGAGGGACAGACACTGTTTTATAGTGATTCTCTTTCATTTAAATCCAGTTTTAATATTATAGTGGGAGAATATTCTGGTTCTGAGGCCCTACTTTGTGACGTACCTTTCCCCTTTCCTTTTGAACATCTATATGGAGCTGCTGGGAAAGGTCATCCATCAGCATGGAGTGCAATATTATCAGTATGAGCCATGGTGGTGCAGTGGTTAGAGTGCAGTACTGCAGGCTACTTCTGCTGCCTGCTGGCTGCCTGCAATTTGGCAGTTCAAATCTCGCCAGGCTCAAGGTTGACTCAGCCTTCCATCCTTCTGAGGTGGGTAAAATGAGGACCCAAATTGTTGAGTGCAATATTATGCTGACTCTGTAAACCACTTAGAGAGGGCTATAAAGCATTGTAAAGTGGTGTATAGGTCTAAGTGCTATTACTAGTATACTCAGTTATATATTTCTGCCCCTGGCTATCCAAGTGAAGCTCTCTTGGTTCTATCCCAGTGTCTGAAGGCTCTGGGTATCTGGATAGGGTTCAACCTGAGGCCAGATTTGTTATTGAGACTTCCCCCCTGCTTGGTTGGATGTCTTCCAACCGAAAAGGAAAGAAGAGACAGAAATAGAATAGAACGAAATTAACTTCAAAATTCTAAAACCATGTGGTGAGCTATGAATAAATATATCATATCTAAACAATAGTGGCCAAAATTGTGGAAACCTTTTGGGAAAAGTGTATTTTTGAGGTTTGATGGCTAATAACACCACTTTTTTTTTTTTTTTTTTTTTTTTTGGAGTTTCAAAATAATCCTATTCCACTGCTGGAATGGCCTGGGAATAGCCCAGACCTTAACCCAATTGAAAATCTATGGAGCCGACTAAAGAATCTTGTTAGTCAGAAGCGACCCAGCAATAAAACCCAGTTAATAGAAGCAATCATTCAATCTTGGTTTCACATTATAACAGCTGCAGAACTAAAAGACTTGGTTCACTCCATGGGAAGACATTGTAAGGCTGTGATTCATGCTAAAGGTTCCCCAACTATTAAATGAAATGGTCATAATTTTTGTATATCTCGTTTTTTCTATGATGATAATTTTTCTATATCTCATTTTTCCTACGCGTTTCACTTTTTTCTTTATATAGCGACTGCTATTCTAATAGCAAATCCTTCATAAAAGTTATTGCATTACATTCTTGATTAAATTATCTTTCCATTGATATATAATTTTATGGTACTACTCCAAAAAAAAGTGATGTTATTAGCTAGTTTTAGAAAATACACTTTTCCCAAAAGGTTTCCACAATTTTGGCCACTACTGTAAAGGCGAATGTTTGTAGCAGGGTTGAAATGAGGGGTCCTTAGTGCTCTCTGAGCTTGTTTGTTTCCTTGCAGACGTTTCATTATCCTAATTATCATCAGTTGAAGCAAGAACATCTTTTATTGTTGGTGTTATAGTTAACTTATGGTACTGAAGGCTACAGGGTAGAATCCATTAGCCATTTCTGGCTAAATATTGGGATCATGGAGCTCTTGTGCTTGTTAGAGTGTTCTAAATAGAGCAGCTTCCCAAGGTTATTCTCAGGGTATCCATTTATACAATGAAAGCATTTGAATTTTTGAAACAACTTTAATTTTTTTAATTGAAAAAAAATTGTTTTTTAATTTTTAATTGTGTTACCCCCCTCCCCCCATGTCTTGTATGTAACCTTCAGATCTCCTCTAAAAGCTACCATTAAATTGCAAATTTTAATGAACAGAAAGGTAGAATGATTACATACATGGGGAAATGCTCCATTTTCTGTATTTGATTAATTAATATTCCCCTGAACTTGAAAAAAGGCAGAAAGCAGGGCCTGAATACTAAAGCCTTCTCATACACTAAAGCAAAAGGGTCTGTTGCGGCAGAAATTTAGAAAATGAAGAATATCACAGACTGCCATTAAACATAAATTTATTAAATTTAAAAAAACCTTAGCCCTAACACAGCCACACATCTAATACAGTATATATCCAGATCATAATTAAATCGAGATTTCACTCCATTTTCATTTTGTCTTTTGAGAAGTGCTCAAAATTCAGAAGTAATACGTTGAAATGTACTAAACAATAAAGAATTTTTGATTTGATGTACAAGCAAAGATAAGATTTGGGACATTGTAGGCTGTAGAAAATGACTTGGGGAGACACCAGCTTGAGATCCCTGGAGTCTAATAACCTATATATTCAATCATACCTACATACCTTTCCTTTCCCCAAATATTTGACATATAACTATTTTACTTTTTAAATTTAAGATGTGACGGTACAGAAAAGGTGCAAAGTAAATTTGATTTTTTGCGATCCCAACTGAATGACATTTCAACATTTAAGAATATCTACAGATATGCATTTGACTTTGCAAGGGTAAGTGAATCATCCAAGAAAATAATTTTAATTGTGCATTTATACATTTTCTAAATTGCACTTTTTTGAACCTGTATAGGATAAAGATCAGCGAAGTCTTGATATTGACACAGCGAAATCTATGTTAGCACTACTTCTTGGAAGGACATGGCCACTGTTTTCAGTGTTTTACCAATACTTGGAGGTAGGAATGCATTAGGAAAAAAATCAAACTGTTGATATTTTAGACCACCGTCACACATTTTATGCTGTGCTCTGCAAATTTTTATGCTTAAGTATATAATTCTTGTAATGTATGATAACATTTCTTATTTTTCTGCAGCAGTCAAAATACAAAGTAATTAACAAAGATCAGTGGTACAATGTGTTAGAATTCAGTAGAACTGTCCATGCGGATCTTAGCAACTACGATGAAGATGGGGCATGTGAGTATTCTATATTCATTATTTTTTTGAGGGTTTCAGTTGCAAGTTTCAGTTTTCATTAGTGTTCAAAAGAAATTGAAACAGTAACATTCATATAAAAACAAAAAACATGAATAGGAGGTTTGGGTAAAATTATAGAGGTTTGTGTGACATACGTTTTATGTCAAGTTTGGAACAAAACACCCCTGCTTGTAATGTTACACCAAAAGACTTTGCTGTAGCATGTTAGTGGAAACAAAAGTTGCTGCAGCTTGATTGTTCAGTGTACCTTTGGAAAAACAACTCTAAAATTTTACTGTTTTTTTTTATTTTCTTTTTTTTAAAAGAAGCCATTGTCTTGGTCAGTGTTGTAAGCACTACTGGGTTTGTTTGCGTTCTCGTTTTTTTACCATTCTTGCCAAATTCAACTCTATAGAGGCACTGGACTTGTCTTTCCTGGTATTTTTGCTGGCACTTGGAATGGTTTCAGGCTGCAGAAAATAAGATGGTTACTGAAGCTTAGATGAGTTGCATTTGATTAATGACTTTATGATAATGTGAAAACATGCATGCACAAAGTATAACTTGCACACACATTTTAAGAAGTCAACCAGTTCCAATATTTTACTAAAAACATAACCATCTTGCCAACATTAGTGACATTTCTGTTTCACTGAAACTAGCATTGACACATACAGTTATATATCTACAAAATGAAACACAGTACAACACAGAAGGAAGCCACCAACCATAGCAAATTTTAAAAAGTAAGAGTGGTAATGCAGGTGTAAGGCTTTTGTTTAGCTTTGTGATTTACTGCTTTTGTCTTCTCAATATTTAAAACTTCTTTCCCTTAACAGGTGTAGTATAAGCCATTAAATTGTACTGCTTAGACTGGACAAAATATGATATATAGCAGCCTTGTCACAAGCCTCCAAATAACAACTAAATTGCAGTACTCAGAACAGTCAGAACGCAAAGTGATGCCTCCCCAGAGATCCAAGTTTTATTTCATTCTTGGAATACTCATAATGATTGAGCTTGGAACTCAACATTTTTTCAGATTAATACAATATTCTTCGATATTATTTAGATCCTCTAGCGGGATACAATGTTGAGATATATAAAAATAATAGCATCTGACTCAGTTAATGTTGTTAGACAAAAATGTTTCATATATGCTGATCAGCATGTTTTGATGTATGGGTATATATTTTATTTTTACCTATACAAGAGCCATGGTGGCGCAGTGGTTAAAATGCAGTACTGCAGGCTACTTCAGCTGCAAGCAGTTCAGCAGTTCAATTCTGACTGGCTCAAGGTTGACTCAGCCTTCCATCCTTCTGAGGTGGGTAAAATGAGGACCCAGATTGTTGGAGGCAATATGCTGATTCTGTAAACCACTTAGAGAGGGCTGTAAAGCCCTGTGAAGTGGTATAGAAATCTTAAGTACTATTGCTTTTTATAATGAAAGATATTCTTAAACTTCTTCAGTTTTCTACAATAGGGAGAATATAGTTGTGCAGGATGCCTTAAGAATAAATTTAATCTGAATTAACATCTCATTTTAATCTCCTTTTGGAGTTTTGTACTTATTGAACATACTCATTTCTGTGGTGCTTCAGGATATACAAAACTTTAAAAGTCTAGTTCAATTGAATTTTTTTTTTTTTTGTATCTATATGAATCAGTCAAAAAAACAATGGCATTCCCAACACGATATTGAGTAACTGTACTAGGATGGTGTATGAATTGAATGTTCTTGAATTATGGGACTTTGCTTGCCTGTGTTTCATGACTAGGTAATATTGTGATTTGATATGTTGGGCTGTTATTTGTTTTGCAGCATCACCTCTACCATTTCCTTTTCAAATACGTTTATATGATATTTAACAAGTCCTTGTTGCCTTCCATTCAGTTGATAAAATCTTTAAATTATACATATGCATTACTTTACCCATGTCTTGGTCTTCAATAGTTGCATGTGTATATTATTATTTATTATATTTCTATACAGTTGAATTTAATCAACTGACAATTTACAGTATAAATAAATCAAAATCACAATAAAATCCAGTCAATAAAACAAGAAGAAATAGTATTCATAGAATAAAAAAATAGTAGTGATAACCATGACAAGCAACCTAAGCTATATAGTAATAAATTACAATTAAAAGGTCCTGATTTAGTAACTTTCTGGAAAGATGTCAAAGTAGATGCCAGCTACGCTTTAGAGGTAGCCTAGAGCAACAGGCTTTCTGTCCTTTTAACTCATATGCATCAGGAACAGCAAGCATACTAAATAGAGTAAATACCGTGTTTCCCCAAAAATAAAACCCTGTCTTATATTTTTTTGAATCCTGAAATAAGCGCTTGGCCTTATTGCCATGCGCTCAAAAGCCCAATTGGGTTTATTATCAGGGGATGTCTTATTTTGGGGGAAACAAGGTAGTTTCATATTTGCTGATTGAGAATGTAATTGTGATGTACTTTTAACATTTTTGCCATATGCTAAATAAATAAATAAGCACGCGTGCTGATTAGATTACTTCCACCTAGAAGAAGTGATCCTGAAGATGCCTGGAAGATAAACTAGATGGGGCTTTTGCAGATTAAAGCAGCACTTCTAATTATACCCCAAACCTGAATTCCCATCTCCTTCCTTACCCTGGGCATGACTTCTACCTGAAAATTCAATAGTAGATGTTAAATCTGGAAGGACTTGCTCCTTTAGGGGGGAAGTTGTCTCGTTCGAAGTTAAAACTGGAGCAGTTTTACAATTTCTGGTCAGATAACAACTCCACCCTATTGGGTTCAAATTCACACCATTTCCCCTCCAGAGCCTCCAAACATGTCATCAAGATTTCTCTGGTATCTGTAGTCTTACCCAGCATAGAGATGCGCAGCTGACTATCCTAGTGGACAAGTAGGGGATCTCTGTTAGCATTTTCCTACACATGTTAATGAAGAGGGGAGAGACAGCTGATTCCTAGAGAATGTCAGAACTGAGCCTTCCTCCCAGTTGGCACATCTATTTAAGAAGTAGAACCAGTGCAAATCAGTGCCCCTGACCCGCCAATCCTTGGAGAAAGCTGAAAAGGTATCATGGTTGACGATATTGAGTACCACTGATAAGACAAATAGAGCCTTTCATGCTCCTAGCCAAGTCCTGACAAAAAATAATAATACATTTTTAAAAAATCCACAGAGAAATCAATGCAGCTTCTATTCTGTGCCCAAACCTGAACTGAGTGAAAAGAATCTAGATACAGGTAATCTTCACATAAACTGCTTAGCAATCATTTGAAGTTACCATGGTCCTTCCCAGAACTACTTATAACCTGTTTTTGACGTTAAAATGGCCATTCACACACCTGGCCATGGTCACATGATTGCATTTTTGGCACTCCGCAATCAACTGTCTGTTTGCAGTGTCCTGAGACCATGATTTTTGCCTTTTTTTTTTTTTTTGTGAGTTTCCAACATTTACTTCCAGCAAAAAAGCTGGCTATTGGTAAAAATGGGTTCACCCAACATCCTTAATGACTGTCGTATTTGCTTAACAGACCACACCATTCACTTAACAACTGCCACAAAAGTAATAAAATTTGGATGTCGTCTCATGGTGGCCTGCTTAAACAACCCCCACAACTTAGTCATAATGCTCGGCCCAGGTATAGTTGTAAATCAAGAACTACCTGTATTCCATTTCATTTACAGCATTTAATTAAAATCCTACCACCTTCTTAATAATCTATATTTTTTGTAGGTTTTGGTTGAAGTGGGTGGATAGAGACAAATAATTGTAATTCTTTTCCTAAGGAAAAGCATAGAGTGAGAGAATAAATTTTTTCTCAAATTTCAGGTGAAATAAATCTTTTAACTGAAGAATATAGTATCAAAATGCTTGCTATTTTCTATCTTACCTTGGGTTTATTACAGGAATAAGTGGCACAAGAGTTTTCCATCAAAGAGGACATTCATTTTATAAATTTTATTGTAGAGCGTTCCTGTCTATCTGTAGGTCTTATTCTGCAAGCTGATTTACTGCAATTTTAGCATAAACTTTGTCTTCAGCCTTTTGTTTTCCTGATAAATCTTGTTGCAAGGTTGTTTTACAAAAAATATTATTACTTGTCACTACTTGTAGAGGGAGGGGGAAAGCCAGAAAGGTTAATAATCTCTGTTCACAGGAGGCCATGTCATCTTATAATCAAAATATATAGTTGCCACCAATTCTGAACATTTACTAATGGAAGATCCAATGCAAATTCATGGACAGGGCCCAATTCTGAAGTGGATAAATTGGGCTATGGTTCATTTTTAGCAGTAAAATTTGGGAAAAAGAAAGTTTATTGTGTTCCTATTTCTTCCTTAAATGGAAGTATTACTTTTTTATCTGCTTAAAATAAAAAAACCAAACATTTTTCCAATCCTAGTATTTTTTTAAAAAAAATACTCTGCTACCAGTAGCAATAGGCTGGCAGTATAGTTTATATTGGTACTATATATTGGTAAATAACATGAGGTAGAGTCGATAAAAGTTTGGTTAGTATTGTCATTAATGTCCATTTTTCATGCTTTCTCTATGGAGTAGTACACTGTGTAGAACATTGATTCAAGAATTCTTTCCCTGTGTTGCCTTCTGCTTCAGCTGTTTTTTTTTTTTTAAATAAAACTAACATAGTTATATGTCAACATATTTTAAGCTAACATTGTATGGCTCTGCAAAAATACAAAGAATATGTCTTACCTGTGAGGGAAGAAAAGTTTAAATTGTATATTAAGACACATTTCCTCATTAGGCTTGCTTATAAATCACAAATCTGTTGTCAAAAAAATTCTTAATTTTCAGCATTAGATTTTTAAAAATGTCTTGCCTTAAGGTTGTAATGATAGTAGATTGCTTTCTTCTTTGTTTACAGAGCTCCTAGGTCTTAGAGTCAAAATGAAGTGGCATAAAAGAACCACAAATTAATTAAAAGAATGATTGATCATCCACTTTAGAATATGTTGTCTTTGCCACTGCCAGAAAGTCTGAATTTCCTCTGAAGTACTGCAGTTTATAATTGCCATTTCTCCCTCCCAGGGCCTGTTCTTCTTGATGAATTTGTGGAATGGCAAAAGGATCGCCAAGCATCATAGCAAGAGCAGTTGTGAAGAGAACGCTGGATCTTGCGATGCCCAATCTACAAACACTGATTCAAAACCAAGGATTGCGTTCACATCCTTATGAACTTTAGTCATTTTTTTTTTCCTTTTATTTTTAAAGGAAGCCTTGTTACACATGAAAAGGGCATTGAACCACACACTTCTGAGACTGAAAATTGGAGGTTTTTGTCTTAAGTTTCTATCATTTCAGAACAATAAAGATTCAGATTTGTAACAGTCTTAAAACATGAAGGATATGACTATGGGTCCTATACTCAAAACCAAAAAAAAAATGTTGAATGCATCAGAAATGTCCAATAGGAGTGACTGAATTCCAGATGTATGTTACAATTGTAGTAGAATAAGAATTTGGTAGATTGGTTCTTGTGGAATGAATGCCTTTAGGAAGGGTGATTAACCTTAAGCCTTGGCTGGTGCTTTGCAAACACCTCTATCACTTGTGCCATAACTGAACAGCTTTGTGGAGATAAAGCCTTTATTAATTTATCAGCAAATCCTACTACTTTTTAGTTTTGTTTTCTAGTAGAACATTCAGTGGCCTGTTTTTGTTTTCCTTAGAAGCACTAAGAAGATGCCTTTGACAACACAATTGTAAAACTTGAAACATCATTTGTATTTAATTATTATATATAGGTCTACATCTTAATAGGAAAATTAAGCTAGATCTTCTGATGTGCATTAAGCTGAGAATAAACTATTATGATTCTCCTCCCATCTCCAAATTTGGAGAATATACGTTTTTATTATCCTATTTTCAGGTATATGCATTCTAAAATTAGGAAGAGTTGCACCAACAACTGATTAACACCCAAGGAGTACTTAGATAAATACGATTAGCTAAATATAAATGTTTACAAGACTTAACTTCGTTTTGTGAAACAAATTATATGTAGGAGAGCCACTAGTAGGTAATTGGATGAATAGTCAGGAAAAATGTAAACCTCCTCCTATAGCAGAATTGTGAGATCACCTGTGTGACATGATCCAGTCCTCCTAGCTTACCATACCAGGTAAAAACATGGTAGTATCTATCTCAGGATAATGAAAATGCATTGTGCACAGTATAATCAGATTCAGGTAGAACAAGATAATCTCTTGTCTGTATGGTGCATTCTAAGTATTTTCATTTATTTATTTTTTATTATTGGTCACTAACAGCCCTTAAGAATCTTTGTGGTGCTGGGAGATGTTAGACAGCAGGTGGAATTGTGTGTTAGCTGCAGAATTTCTATCCAAGCTGTCCAAGGGATGATATAACATCAGTGAGTTTGCTGTTCTTTGGCTGTCTGCAAAAGAAAAAAAGCAATTTGAAGTTGCAGGAGGAAGTACATCAAATACCTCAGACCTGCTGATCTGACTCGGTTGCTTTTCTTAATAAGTATCCCATTATACTTCAGACATATTTTCTATAGCCCTATATGAACTTATCTGATCTATCGGGCTTTTTGGTGGATGTGCTGAAATCCACTTCTGATTGATGCCAAAAAATTTTTTAGGAAGTCATATTGTAGACTTAGGCATAGTTGTTGTGGGAGTCAGTTAAATTGAACTAGATGGTGTTTCCAGCTTCTTTATTTTCCAGGGTGCAGCATTTCTAACGGAAGGACATAACTGACCAACACAAAGTATTTCATGATTTCTAAGGGTTAGACACTAAATACGTTACAGGTGGACAGCAAAAAATAAATAAATTCAATGATCAGATGAGCACTGCAGAGACGAAGATGGTTTTTAAATGCCTTAAGGCAGGTGAAGCGATTGATTGCCTGATATATTTAATATTCACAACCTGAATACTTGATATAAGCCTTACTGTGGAACAGCTATGGTTAGGATGAGTTATGTTAAACCAATCTTTTCAAAATGAACAAATATCTTGGGTGGGGGTTGCAGCCAGATTTTGCGCTGATATTGTTGTTTCCCCAAGTGAAATAGTGTTTGTTTTCATTCTCTGATGTAGATGGGGAATAAAAATTCAATCCAGAGATGCGCATTTGTGAGTGAATCATGTATTTATTACTCTTCCTCTCCCATTTTGCCATAAAGAGGTTGTATCAGTAGATCCCTACTCTAATTTGGGTATAGCCAGGTGGGTATACATTGAACCGATGTCAGAAAAATATGCATAGGAATGAAGATTTGCTTCTGGCATCCAGTTTCCCAAGCTGTGCTGTATTAAATCTCAGGTTTTCAAGTTGAAAGATGCAAATCGGGAAGATACAAACAATGTAAAGAGAACATCTTTTGAAAATCCAAATTATAAGCTCTGTAGGAACAAGGAAATCAATAAAGTAATCAATCCATTTATATCATCTGTTTCTTACAAAGAGATCAGATTGCTATGAATTGCTTCTCAGGTTTTATCACTTCTTATAATAAAACCATATTTCAGGGTTTTAAGACAACAGTTTAGTGATTGGTTTTTAAAGTTGTGTGCCAATTAAAAATACAACGAATGCTTGTTACTTTATAATTCATTTTTACCAGTAAATGGAAGCCAATTAAAATATATTTCTTCCTCTTTCAAAATCAGCAGATGAAATTGCTTGAAGCTCAGGAAATTTCTAACAACTGTTTCTTTGAGAAATACCTCTCTCCTGTTGTACTGTCTTATCTCTGAAATACTTTAAGATACTCTGATCAAATTTTGTATTAAGTTAATAAAACTGGAGTTCAAAGTATCTATTAAAAGTAAGCTGCTGGAACAATGTAGCACAGTAACACATAGAGCAAAGTAGAAATAAAATTAGGAAAGTAAAGGTTAAAATTGAATGGAAATAAAGCTGTAAATGTGAAAATCAGGCAATACAATGTATAATTTTTAAAACTAACAAATATCCAGGGTACATTGCAGTTACATAAGTAATGTAGGAATAAAGACAAATGTACTAAAGTGGAATATAAAATGAAAAGCAGATAACAGGTGGAAAATGTTAGAAATCAGTTGTGTGCAGTAGTCCAGGTATAAATGCATACCAACTAAAAATATTACTAAATAATAGGTAATCAGTTTAATAAGCATAAGAGGAAAGATGTAGCAATTTTGTCATAGGAAAAAATACAACCAATTGGCAGAGTTTAGGGACTTATATCTGGAAAATGTGCAGGTTTTTTTTAAATTTAAATGCCAGACATAAAGAATAGATTACAGAATTCAATTATGCACACACACACACACACACACACACACGGAGTCCTTGACATTCGACCACAATTGGGAAGAGAATTTCTGTAGTTAAGCAAGGTGGTTGTTAAGTGAGTTTTGCCTGATTTTATGGCCACCTTTCCCAAAGTTATTAAGCAAACTATTGCAGTTAAATAAATCACATAGTGGTTAAGTATACATAAGCTTCCAGTTTTATCTCTTACTAAATAGTCTTTATGGAAGGAGGCCAGTTTTCTGAATAGTCAAAGAATCCTGGGCAAAGATCCAAATCCTTTAGTCACTTTCTTGTAGAATACTTGTGAGTTATGCAAATTCTTCTTAATGCACAAAGGGGTGTGTGTGAATCCTGAACCTCTTTACAAATGGTTAAGACACATAGTTCTTTTCCTAAGGTTCACAAGACTGCCTTCACTACCTGGAAACACTGGTTTACCATTTGAAAAAGAGATGCTTTGTATGTGCTCCTATGCATTCAAAGACATCTTTTTCAAAGGATTTGCACAGCCGAACGATTAAAAAAATGCTTTGGGAAATACAATTATAAGACATGGCAAGTTGTTACCACTAGAGGGCATCCAGTACCTTGTAAGTTACAGTAAAATTGTGAGGTAAAAAAATATGCTAAGATTGTACATTTTCAGAAAAAAATGTTACTATACCATATATGAATCTAATAAGAATCTGTCACACATAAATCTCAGTTCTAGCTAACCACTAATAATGCTATAGAATATCTACAACACTCTAGCTTTCCCAAAATTAAAATAGCTATGATCCCAGTTAGGATATTTGCTGTGGATTTAAGTCAGTCCTCTCTCCCTACTCCTTAAATGAACCAGTGTACCTGTGATTTGTAAGAAATGTACATAATTTTAAAAAATACTTGGGTTGAGAAGTTTCTAGCGTTAAGCCAGAAAAATCCTCTTTCTCCTCCTCCTCCATATTATTATTAGCAATTACAGTAAGTAGCTGTTTTGATGGACTCAATTCAAGGCATAATTTGAGCCCCAGGCCAAAAAAAGTCCTAAAATTGCCATATTCTCAGACAGGTTAGATCAGATTGCCTTTTAAGTCCCCCCAGCTACAGAAGTACCAGAGAGTTTGTAAGTACTCCAGGCCAATATTTGCCATGTACTCGTCAACAAGGCTTCAAGGTTTTGGTTACCACCTTTAAAGCGCTCCATGGCTTAGGACCTGGTTATCTACAGGACCGCCTACTACCACAAATAGCCTCCCACCGGCCAGTACGCTCTCATAGAGAGGGGCTCCTCCGGGTGCCGTCAGCCAAACAGTGTCGGCTGGCGACCCCTAGGGGGAGAGCCTTCTCTGTGGGGGCACCTACCGTCTGGAATGAGCTCCCCCCAGAGATATGGAGGATCCCGGATCTGCGCACCTTCCGCCGCGCTGTGAAGACCTTTTTATTCCATCAGGCGGGCTTGGCCTAATCTCTTCCCTTTTTTAAATATGTAAATTTTAATCTGTTTTTAAATTATTGGGGTGTTTTAATCTGTCTGGGCCAAAATGATTTAATTTGATTTTATCTGGTTTTTAAATTTTTTGTATTTATGTATTTTATTGTTTGGCTGTTCACTGCCCTGAGTCCTTCGGGACTAGGGCGGTATACAAATCAAATAAATAAATAAATAAACAAGAGCAGAAAATCAATATCCTCCTAGTTTCAGAATCTACTTGCCGTTGTTTGTTGCAAGGTTTACAATGACCAGTTAGGCCAGGGATATTAAACTCAATGTCATGGCAGTGTCACGTGACATATCAGGACTTTTTCCCCTTCGCTAAACCGGGTGTGGGCGTGGCCAGTGTGTGATGCATCCGCCCCGCAGGTCGGGAGTTTGACAGCCCTAAATTAGATACTTTGTATTTATTGTAATTGGACAAATCTTAAACCCCTGTGATCTGCATCATTGTGCCAAAAAATAACCCCACCATCACCTTGCTCGGATCCTAGATAGATCTGAGGTTTATGTGTGACAGATTTAATTTGATTTATATATGGCATAGGGGAAAAAACCAGGATTCCACAGTCATTTTCTGGATGGCC